CAAATTATGTACGTCTCCAGACGGTTTTCTGCTTTTTTGCTGACATTTTTAAATGGAATGTCTTTCTCGTTTTCGGTGGCCAACCTTCTTCTCATGCTCATCTGTGGTTTTCAAACTTGTTTAAACAGATCATTGACAATTCAGGTGTGCATTTACATCATAGAAGAAGAACTGCGTCTAGCATAGGCCATGATGGCTACAGGGTTAAAGCTAGATTGTGTAAATGTTTGTGGAACTTCATGTTTGGTGGAAGTGGGAATGTTTTGAGATTGTCCACGATTGTATGTTCTTCTGTACTTCGTTCACAGCAATTAAATTCACTGTTTGCACGTAAATGTACAATGTGACCATTTTAACGTCCTTTCTTGTAGCAAACAGTTGTTTTATCCTTATCTCATAACTACCCTTATCTAAAAGTCAATCATATAATTGTCCACAAACCCCCTCCACATGACCAGTAACTAGATTTTAGTGTTATTTTGATATTTTTTTTCTCATCCAAAGTTATCTTTAAAGGCAATTTCAGCATCTTTGTGTTGTCGAGGTCAGTGTCCTAAAATATATAGATAATGCAGATTGTTTTGTAATATGCTACAAATTATTATTGTTGTTGTTGTTGTTGTTGTTGTTGCTTTGATTTATTGTCATTATTGTTATTACTACACGGGGATCTAACCTAATGAGAAGTTTTATGTTTCTGCCCTGATACTTTAATAAAGCATACTCTCTGCTGCCAGATTGATGTGTCGTTTTTTTTTTTTTTTGCACTTACATTTCTTGATGTGAAATATTTGATTGTTTTTTATTTAAAATATTTTATTTGTATTTCATGTTTTGTTTAATTTTTGGAAACACGTGCATTAAAGTTTTGTAACTTACAGCCATGAAACTTTTCGCTTAGACGACTAAGTGTATTCTCCGGACTATAAGTCGCTCCAGAGTATAAGTCGCACCAGCCAAAGGATGAAATAAATGTGCAACTTACAGGAGTAGCAGATCCTGCTACACAAGCCTAGAGTGCCCTCTAGCGGCTGTCAGTGTGAAAATAACGAAAATGTGAAATTATATATTTTAATATATAAGTAGCATCTGAGTATAAGTTGCAAACTCAGCCAAAGGATTAAAAAAAACGACTTATAGTCAGGAAAATACGGTAATTAATCATGTCGTTCCACTGGGCCTTGAACCCTTCTGCATGTAAGGCAGTTTGTAAGGCAGGTATGACAAGCACTGAACTAATAGAAACATAAGGAATACATTGTCGAATTCCCATAACAAATGTCATTTTACTGCCATTAGCCATACTCCATACTAAGAATAGCTCAATGTGACTTTTTCTTGTATGATACAGTAACAATACTGCAACTTGGTGTATCTGCCAGTACCTCCAGCATGCCGTAGGCTGCGGTTGCTGAGGTGATAATGTCCCTGCTTACAGCGCATCATGCAGCTTTAAGGGCTTAAGTATCTAATCATGGGCTATCATTGTTTTATTCCATATTTAATCCTAAAATTTTGACCAATATCGGACCTATATTGTTTAGAATGGGGTCAAGCAGTACATTTTTATTTTTATGTACATAAAGACACTTGTAAAATAGGATTTAAAAAAAAATGCTGACCTGTCTAAGTCTCACCTGTACAGCAGGTTGAACTAATTATTGTATACAGTCATAATAAACATCTCATCAATAAGACATCAAAATGAACAACAACAAGCGACAGGTTTTGAGTTTGTTGTATGTGTGTTGTGCATGATTCTGGGGCCGTTTTAAACTTCTGATCTTTCTTCCCTTCTAATTGTGTTGGGGATGTGCGTCACAATTCAAAGCGGTAACATCAGGCACAATAACAAAGGTGGAGCTGAGACTTTGAAATATGTTTTCCATCAGACGGGGAGCAAAATAAAGCCATCAAACACGTCTGAGTCACTGCATAATAAGGAAATGACTTTTATTATTTCTCACAATGCTCCATCTCTTCAAACCATTAAAAACTTTTTTTTTTTCCTTTTCCAGCCGGTGTTCATTAATGAGTCAGACGTCTGCAACTGACCAGAGCCCTTCTTTTTTTAGAAATGCCATTTGCTTGCTTGATTAAATTACTCTTTTTTTGTTGTTGTTTTTGTTTTTTTGTGTGTTTTTTTTTTTGTAATTTACATCTTAGTTAAGTCGTCAAGTCTATTTGATTCTAGTTGAAAAGAGAAAAGGGTCCTAGATATGTTCATGTTCAGGTGTGTAAGGCAAAGATATCCTCGTCCTGACCTCACTTAGCCTGACTCATCTTCTCAAATTACACAGGAAAAAAAAAGTTTTTTCTTTTGGCAAATAATAGTGTAGGTTTTTCTCACGGTGCTGAAAGGCGCTCAAAGAAAAGGGAACTGAAAAAAAAAAGGGAATGAAAAAATAAAGAAAAAACATCACAGGCATCAATAACTTTACCAACGTACAAACCAATGTGCCTCACTATTAGCAACATGCTACTTCCAATTTCATCTACAACCAACCTGAGTCCAAGGAAGACTCTTTTATCTCCGAGTGCACCCCTTACATACCACCCCGTGATTGGCTAAGCGCTTCAGCTCATTATGACAGTGTTGACAGTGAAGTATTGCAAAATATTATGTGAGTATCGAATATATATACAAATTTAATAATAATAATTTTAAAAAGGATAAACAGTTACACTCACCCCCTACACCAAATGCAAGTTTTCCCTGTCCCGAGATGGAACCTGAAATCCGAGCTCTCTGCACGCTTCCACTGGGACACTTTATGCTGGCGATGTTCTGATGTTTTTTCCTACCTGAAGTTTTTTCCTACCCATAGTGGAAATTTATAGCCATACCTGATATTTATAGCCATAACTGATACATTTTTTTTTCAAATTCTCTCTTGAAAAAATGTAGCTATGCAAATTATTCAATGCAAATTATTCAAATTATTATATATATTATAGGCAACAAAATGGTTAGGAAATTATGTCAAATTTATAATAATTTTAAAAAGGATAAACAGTTACACTCACCCCCTACACCAAATGCAAGTTTTCCCTGTCCCGAGATGGAACCTGAAATCCGAGCTCTCTGCACGCTTCCACTGGGACACTTTATGCTGGCGATGTTCTGATGTTTTTTCCTACCTGAAGTTTTTTCCTACCCATAGTGGAAATTTATAGCCATACCTGATATTTATAGCCATAACTGATACATTTTTTTTTCAAATTCTCTCTTGAAAAAATGTAGCTATGCAAATTATTCAATGCAAATTATTCAAATTATTATATATATTATAGGCAACAAAATGGTTAGGAAATTATGTCAAATTTGCCTTTTTCTCGTTTTTGTGTAGTTCCAACGCACACAAAGGAAATAAACTGAATATATACTCTGCACACACGTTATGATTTTATTTTCTGAAGGAAACTGGGGGGCTGAGAAGCTCCATCTTGTTCCTCCACTAAAACAAAATGTTAAAAATACATTTTTTTTGTTGTTGTTGTTGTTGTTATTTTTAATTTTGAAGAGCAACAAAAAGTCCGCAGATCATACATCTGCTCATCCTTTGGGAACTGAGTGTGTCTCTGGACAATTGTCTGAAAAACTGCGTCAGTAGTTTGTTTAGTTCTGTGTCCTGTCCTAACATCCGACCTAACTGGAACTGGCCCCTAACGCCACTAAGGTCTCACTGTAAACAAAACAACCAGTTTCCCATGTTTGTCGCTAAAACACAACCCGAACCTAACGAGAAACTCTCCCGAGTTTCAAAGTGCATGATCGTAAAAGATGCTATACTTCAAAACTATAACCAAGCACATCACTCAGATGAACAAAGTACTCAAAATCAGGTTTAGTGCACAGGTAATCAGTTCATTGACAAAGCATAACAGTAACAAGTCAGCGATCAAACGAATAAGTCAGGGATCAATGAATAAGTCCAAGCTAAAGATGTTGAAAGTAAAAAGACACAAGCATTAGGGAGGATCAACTGGATGGAGTAGGTTTCTTGAAGACGTTTCACCTCTTATCCAAGAGGCTTCAGTTATATTTTTGGATAACATGACCTTGATGACTTGAGAACCTACACAGACAGAACACATGAAGTAAGGCAGTGAATGACCTGAAGTAAAACCGGATGCAAGGCTGGACTTGACACTTACTGTACATTATATAATCACTGTGAAACTGAATGTTGTGTCTTTGTCTGCCATGTTTGTTTTTCTATGGAAGTCTTCTCAGACAAACTCGCTCGAGAAGTTTTTAGCCCAATGTGCCCAAAGACAAAGAGCTTATGTAAGAGTTATCCAATTCACATGACTATTTGCTCTCCTCCAAGGCTTTAAGTCCAGTTGATCAGGATAGAAAAACAAAAAGGAGATTAGAGCTACTGTCTCGCACATTAGGAAGAAAGTGTTTGATGAGCAAAAATGGTAGCTGCATTGGCACTACCGCTAAAAACTACATTCAAGTTGTATGTGCAGGATGAGGTTTTTGGCATGGTTACGCATGACTTAGCATAATTTTGGTTATCGTGTTTGCTATACCTTTATGTATCCAATGACAAATGCTGGCATCACAATGAAGGGTTTTTCTAGAAAAAAATATTTAAAAAAATTAAACCATGGAACAAAAGCCAATCAAGTGCCTTATTATTTAAAGTTATTTTCTGTTCAAAGCCAACAATGTACATTTAAGATTTCCTGTCGCTAAGACACTGCTAGCATGTAACTTGTAAGGTATCAAATAAAATGAAATGGCATTTGAAGTCTATTTGACATATTTATTTTATATTTTTATTTTGGCACCTCAAATGTTTATAGTCATTGAGTTTTAATGATACAAGTACTTTCCCTGTTACAAAACTTGTCATATCAATTATTTAGCACACCATGCCAATTTAGAACCAACTTAGGTGTATGGTTATTTTGGCTGCTTTTTTTTTTTCCAAAAATATTTAGTTTTCCAAAGAAGCAAAATTTATTTTTAATCTGCATTATTTATCATCTGGCATTTGTTTTAATGTCTTTCTGACATTAGAGCCACTAAAAAATAACTGTCCATGACAATTACATGGAAAACAGCGGCATGCTTTAAAATGAAATCGCACTGCCATCTAGTGGACATAGGACAAATGTTTTACATTTACGAATATACTGTATAGTGTGTGTGTGTTTTATAGCGATTACAAACGATTGCAACGTTTATATGATTAAAGACAGGATGCACTTGCGTTTTGTGTCATATCCAAATGGCAGATATGGAAAATGTTTTTTCTTTAAATGTGCAAGTATAATTTGCTTAAAAAAATAATTAGTTAAATTATTCCTTTTGAATTTGATTGACAGCTGCTGCAGGAATAACACAGTGACTCGGGCGTTAGCCCCACATTTAACTCCTGTGCCTCTCTCCTAGACCTCTTTGTCTCCGAAGGGAATTCATATGAATATCATCACCCGTTCAGTGTGTGTGCCCCACAGCAAAAATCACAGCCCGAGCAGAAGCTCCATGAAAACATTTCTATCCCCAAGGGAGGGCATGACAGAAAACGATTGAGAACCACTTATTTAGATACACAGATCTGGCCGGAATAATTCCGACATCTAGTTTCTACACCATATCTCTTTCACATCTGGACACAGTTAAGAGAAATGTATCATTTAATCTACCTCTGTCCTTTTGTTGCTGCAGCATGTCAATTTCTCCAGTTCACCATTTATATAAAGTATATAAAACTATGCTCAACCTTACCAAAGCATTTCCATCACATTTCACAATTCTGACTGCAGTTAAAATGTAATGATAGCAATATTAGAAAACACCTACGTGTGCTTTGATGCCACCTGTTGGACACTGTTGAACACTTCAATTGTGAGAACAATAACAGTCAATTTTATAGGATAATAGTGCTGTTGTGTATGTTGTTGTTTTTTTTTAAAACTCCATTATGTATGAACGTTTATCGCTTCAGTATCGCTTTAAGAATTCGCTGGTGTTTGCCTTGAGCGTCAACAAATGTTTATAAAGGAATACTTTGTTTTTGGATCCCATGATTCACTCCTTCCGTGTGAAACTTGCACAGAGGGTTGTGATTGGTTGCAGAGCAGAGGCGGACACCTGCCAAAGAAAAGAGAAGAAGAGTGGCCGGGAGGAACTGCAAGTCTGTGCTTTGAGTATGAGACGTACTGAGACGTGTGCGTGTATAATTACGTGCATACATACGCACGCACAGAGTCAACGTACACAAGAAATCGAGGAAGCACTTCTAGTGAACATTCTGGTAAGATTTGTTGGAGGCTTCACTATGTAGAAGCTGTTCCGTTAGACCTGTTTAAGTAAGAGATAACCGTTTCTCGTTTATGAAATTTAGCTTCTTTTTTTTTTATTTTTTATTTTTAAATACGTTTAACTGGACTATTTCCCTGACCAACATATTAGTTTAGTGTTTAAACAGCCAATGCCTCATGCATGTAAACCCTGGTTGACATATTTGCCTCGAAAGGAATATTGTTGGTCTACTGCAGTTTTTTTTTGTGATAAACGCTTGTCTTTATAAACACAAAACTGTGATGCAGATGGTTGAAACTGTGTTCAAGCAAATTCTTTTGGCAATTTCTTTATGCAACGGTGGGGTATAGTATAGTGTTTGAAATCCATTAGTTTTGTCATTAAAAAATGATTGAAGCATATATATATATATATATACCAGCAAATTCTTTTTGCAATTTTTTATGCAACGGTGGGGTATAGTGTTTGAAATACAATCTTTGGTTATTGTATTATCCATTAGTTTCGTCATTAAAAAAAATTGAAGCCTATATTATTCTATATATATATATATCAGCCCACCCTCATACCCACAATCCCGCGAATTAAAATACTATACTTTTACTATGTGTTTCTATGTATTTAATGCAGTAATGGGAGCTCAGCAGTCATCAGTCAACGATGTTCATGTGGTGGTGGTTGGTGGTGGATTCGGGGGGATCACAGCTGCCCAACATCTTAAGTCTCAGGGACTAAAGTTCACTCTGATCGACATGAGAGATGCATTTCATCACAACGTGGCAGCTCTACGAGCATCGGTGCAGCCTGGTATTGTTGACGTCTGTTATAATGAGCTCCAGCATCACTTCTTGAATAGAATGTCTTTTATTCAATCCATTGACTGTCACAGGCTTTGCTCAGAGGACATTTATTCCATATGCTGAGACATTTGGAGACAGCTTCGTTCAGGGTCGAGTGGATCGGGTAGATACTGCCAGACAGACAGTGTGTCTGCAAGGTGGGACGGTGAGTCTGTGCACTTGTGTGTGCACATGCTCGTGTATACATTCATTAACATTCCTTTTCCGTATCTTATAGGAAATGTTCTTCTCTCACCTTATCCTCTGCACTGGAACGGATGGATCATTCCCTGGGAAATATAACACAGTGGCATCGTATCACACTGCTATCCAGACATATGAAAACTTGGTTAAACAGGTGTGAAAGAGATGCGTGTTTTGAAGAAATGCTGCTTTGTCCTTGCTTTAGTATTGAACTTGGTGTGTGTCTGTGTGCAGATCCAGGCGGCAGACTCAGTTTTGGTTGTGGGTGGAGGTGCGAGTGGTGTGGAAATGGCGGCTGAGATCAAGACTGAGTATCCAGAGAAAAAGGTGGCTACCATTGACCTTTGACATCTGCTGGTTAGATAAAATTTGATTAATGGAATTTTACCTTTTTTTTTTATTGATAATGCTGCTGTGGTCATCTTTACTTACTACTGCTTCCTCTTCTACTCTATTTTCTCTTTCGGTATCTGGGTTGTATTACCTCTAGGTTGTGTTAGTTCACTCCAGAATTGGACTGGCAGATCCTGAATTACTGCCCAGTGTCCGGCAGGAGGCCAAAGAGGTTTTGCTGAGAAAAGGAGTTGAGCTTTTGCTGGGTAGAAAAGTGACACAATTGATTAAAGTGATGCCACAGTCATAAAGATGTGACATCACCTGCTACACATGTCTAATATGTGGCTTGACAAAATGGATGTGTGTTTGGTGTTTTAGGTCATAAAGTGAACAGCTTGTCAGAACTGCGCCTAAACAAAACCCACAAAAACACAGTGGTGACAACGGACAAAGGAGAAACTCTGATCACAGAGTTGGTCATTAACTGCTCTGGACTCAGGATCAACTCTGAGGCATACAAAGAAGAACTAAGTGAGGCTTGTACAAACACACACTTGTGATATTGAAACACCCTCACGCACACATTCCATCCTCCAAATAAGCACATAGATTACAGGTAAATGAGTGATGCATGTGTAGAACCCTTGAGTGATTCATACAAACAGGATCTCATTGGGACAAACAGGTTCAATTAAAAAAAAATATATTTAAACATGCTCTTATTGTTTTGTATTTGCTAGGATCTTGATAGTACATCAATAGTCTAATAAGTATTTTTTAACTTCATGAATTTCATTATGAGAAGTGTATTTTGCAAATATTTTGCAATTGAAAAAAGACCTTAAAACTCTACAATTGCATATCTTCTTTTTCTTTCGGCTTTGTCCCTTTTTTTGCAGGGGTTGCCACAGCAAATCATTGATTTCCATCTCTCCCTGGTCTCTGTATCTTCTACTCTGACTCCAACTATCTGCATGTCCTCCCTCACTACATCCATATGTCTCCTCTTTGGCCTTCCTCTTTGTCTCCTACCTGGTAGCTCCATCTCTAACATTCTTCTTCCAATGTATCCACTGTCCCTCCTCTGCACATGTCCAAACCATCTCAATCTGGCTTCTCTTGCTTTTTCTCCAAACCTTCCTGTCTGCGTTGTCCCTCTAATTACCTCATTCCTGGTCCTGTCCATTCTTGTCACTCCTAAAGAGAATCTTAGCATCTTTAACTCTGCCACCTCCAGCTCCTCCTCCTGTCTTCTGCCTATTGCTACCGTCTCTAAACCATACATCATGGCTGGTCTCACCACCGTCCTGTAAACCTTTCCCTTCACCTTAGCCGACACTCTTCTATCACAGATCACTCCTGACACTTTTGTCCAGCTGTTCCATCCTGCCTGTACTCTATTCTTCACCTCTCTTCCACAGTCTGCTCTGCTCTGAACAGTTGATCCTAAGTACCTAAACTCCTGCACCTTCACCACCTCTGCTCCTTGTAACCTTTTTACTGTTCTCCCTTTGGTTTACACACATGTACTCTGTCTTGCTGCGGCTGACCTTCTTTCCTCTTCTTTCTAGTGCAAACCTCCACCTCTCTAGGTTAAATGGTGCATGTGTATCTAAAAGTATTTACCGATATAGATTCTTCTGAACTAGTTCAATATTATTTTTAATCCTTATATGTATTGAAATATTTGGCATTATCTCTAATTCTTCAATCACTTTAACCAGTCATTGTAAATTGTCAGGTACATTTTAGAATTCAAGTTTTATTTTATTTTTTAAAAGCAGTATACATAGAACATTTTCCAAGTTCCTTTCTTATGAATACATCCACAATTAAATATCCACAGTATTGACAAGATGTTCATCAACCTTCAAAAACCTCCGTTGTTGTTTTGTTTGAACTTTAGTGTTCACTTTGGCTTTTTAACTCTGGTTTTCTTTTTTATTTCCGTAATCAAAGGTCATTGTTCTTTGTCACAGGTGGATGCATGTCTAACAGTGGAGCACTGAAGGTAAACCAACATCTCCAGGTTTTAGGTTTTACAAACATTTTTGCAATAGGTGATTGTGCTGACATTAAAGAACCAAAGATGGCATACCATGCACAACTGCATGCCTCTGTTGCGGTAAACAACATCATCTGTGGTCTAAGCGGAAAGCAGCTCACATCATATCATACAGGTACTTGCAGTAGTGCACACATGCAAACGCATAACGAGCATATTTTTCTGGATGTCAGATGTTACAGTGTATCGTTGACAGGTAACGTCACCATGTTGCTGGCCATGGGTCGAGATGACGGCGTTGGACAATTTAATGCTGTGAAGCTGCCAAGGTTCCTGGTGGTTCTAGGGAAAAGTCGAGATCTTCTTCTGTGGAAGAGCTGGAGAGAAATGGGACAGAAATACACACATACAGAGATAAACACAGACACACCTGATGCGGTAGAAGAGATTCACTGTGAAAATTAGAAGAAGAAAAAAACAGTTACACATATGTAATGTACGTACCACTGGAAGTATTCAGTCAGTTACCTTTTGTTTGTAACATCTTGGCGAAACATCATTTTTTAAATATTTTTTCAAACAAATAAAATCCTTTAAACTTCTGAAGAAATTTCATTATTTATGACTTTCATTTATCGAACTTAATTCAGTTTCATTTAACGTCTACACACTAAATGAAGAGTTGTAAAATCATGTTAGATGGAAGACAAACTGAGACACCCAAACGATGTGTACAATTAATAGATATCTAATCCCTGGCGCCCTCAAATGCCTTGAAACAGTTCTTTTTAGTTGCCCTAGTGTAGAATTTCACATTGTGTTGTCAGCTCCAGCCTCCGTTATTCACATTATGCAATAAGAGCGCTTCTAACTACTTGTTTTAAAATTTTAAAACAAATAATACATGCATAAAATACATTTAACCTACATTCCTCTCACTTGCTATATATACAATGTACCGAATGCAATTAATGGTAATTGGACACGGAAATTAAACCACTAACCGTTTCTAACGGTTGGGACGCTGATAAATCCGCCTGAACGTGAACGCATCAACAGAAACACGTTTTTTGCTGCGTCATTACGCACAAAGAGCAGTGCGTTCGTCCAATCAGCTGAAGAGTGTCAGGCTCAGGAAAGAAGCAGATGATATGGCAGCTTTGAGAGCGACCGGGTGGAACTTGCTTTGTTCATATGGCTAAAAGAACCCCGAAAACCTTTTGACTGCGAGACGGCGTCAGGACCGCTGCTCGAAATGATATACCTGGTACTTATATCTGTGTTCTCTGGAGCAGCGCTGACGTTGCTATTACATTGCCTGCTGATATCCCGGAGGAGCCCTGAGCCTGTAGGCAGGGCAGTGCAGTATGTCAAAGTAGTGCCTGATAACATACTGAAGGATTACTTTAATACCCAGCATGTCGAAGCGGGACAACAACAGCAGCAGCAGCAGCAGGACAGCACAGCGACCGGTGTCGCTAGTCCTAAGCAGCAAGAGACGGCCTCAACACGCCAACAGGAAGCGGTTGTCGGCGGCGGCAGCCCCAAACAAACACCGCCGCCTAGCCAAGGCGACTCCAGTGATGCCACCAGACCAGAAACGTGTAATTTCCTTAACGCTATATTTTTGTTCCTGTTTAGGGAGCTCCGGGACACCCCTCTGGTAAGACACTGGCTAACCAAGAAGATCAAGGTGGAGTTTGAGGAGCTGTTGCAGACCAAGACGGCAGGTCGGCTCCTGGAGGGACTTAGTCTCAGGGACATCTCCCTGGGCAATTCTCTGCCGGTGTTCAAAACGGCTACACTCATCAAGCCGGTGCACATGAACGAAGATGGCATGCCCGAGGAACTAAACTTCGAAGTAGACATCGAGTATAATGGCGGCTTTCACCTCGCTATCGACGTTGAACTGGTGTTTGGAAAGTCCGCTTACCTATTCGTGAAGATGCGTCGAGTGGTGGGCAGACTAAGACTGCAGTTCACACGCATGCCCTTCTCACACTGGTCCTTCTCCTTCCTGGAGGACCCTCTGGTGGACTTCGAGGTGAAGTCCCAATTTGAAGGCAGACCTCTGCCTCAGCTCACCTCCATCATAGTCAATCAGCTGAAGCGCGTCATCAAAAAGAAACACACACTACCGAACTATAAAATCAGGTGAGTAAGACCAACACAAGCACGCTTATCCTCTTTACCTCTGATTCAGTCTAAAAAGTTGTACCAGCAGTCAAAACTATGATTGTCACTCGTTATTCTGTCACAAAGACTATAAGAAAAACTTCCCACTGACTTTATATAATGTCAGTAAGACGCCTGAAGACGAAGTCCCAGCAGTACCATCTAACGTGTATCAAACTCAAGGCCCGGGGGGCCGAATGCGGCCCACCAAGTCATCTTGTGTGGCCCGTCGGCGCTGAAAAGTCTTTTAATAAAATCCATGCTGCTGAGTTTCTTAACCTAATGAATTATTTTTGTTACACAGAGCAATGAACAATATTTTTAACTTAAATAAATCAATTGCAGAAATGTATAGAAACTATACAATCTTGACATCCCTGATCTAATAGAACAGGAAAGGGAGCATCAGGAAGGGAATCAATTTAAAGACTGTGTTGAATAACATTCTGGACTACTAATTTGGCAACAGGTGATAGAGAAAGAAGCTGAAAGTTGTGAAAAAAGGAGACATTAAAAATAATGCAACAGGTCACAAGTGATTGAAATAAACGTTTACTTTACTGGTGCTTCACGTCACAAGATCCAAGATTTGAATGCTCGGCATTTTAACATGTTGACCAAAAAAGGTTCTCATCAGATTTACATTTTTTGTGTGCTTCCTTTAATGGATATGAACATTTAAATAATCAAAGTAAAAATACTACAGCTAGTTTCCTTCAGCGGTCGCCACAGCAAATTATCTGCCTCAATCTCGCCCAATCCCATGCCTCCTCTACTTTTTCATGAATCTGACAGTGTCCGTTTTTAAGCCAATCCACAAATCTCCTGAGGTCTTTTTCTTTTCATCTTGCCTAGCAACTCCATCTCCAACATCCAATATCCAATTGTCCATTGTTTTCCCTATTTTATCTCAGCACATGTCCAAACCATCTCAACCTTGCCTCTCTAACCTTATCTCTGAACTGCTTCACTTTACTGCCCCTCTGATTTGTTCATTTTTCTAGTCTCAGAATTTTGTTTTGTCTCCTCCATCTCAGCCTTTTGTATGTTCGAGCAACTGTCTCTAAACCATACGTCGTAGCAGGTGTCACTACTGACTTAAATCTTCCCTTTCAACTCCCCTGCTATTCTTTGGTCACAAATCACTCCTGACACTCATCTCCATTCGTTCCACCCTGCCTGCACCCTTTTTCTTCACCTCTTTTGTGTACTGTCCATTACTGTAGATGGTTGACCTGAGGTATTTAAACTCATACACCTTTACTGTCGCTGCTCCTTGGAGCTTTATCTTTCCACTCACCTCACTCTCGCTTATACGCGTGTACTCTCTTGCTCCCGCTGTCCTTCATTTCTCTACACTCCAAAGCAAACTTCCACCTCCAGTTTTTCTTTCACATGGCCCCTACCCACACTATAGATCACAATGTCATCTTTTTATTATTTACAAAAATAGTTAAATGTATATATGTTTAAAGCTCACAAGCACCACTCCTGAATGAAAAATATGAAGAACTTCCCTCAGTTATTAATTTAGTAGATAATCAGGTTAATTGACAAAAAAAACAATATGTATATATATTTTTTTTCGTATCATCTCAGCTTAGTTGAAAGAGGATTTCTTGTGACAGACAAAAGCAGAAATCTCCAGAAATGTTTATTGGGCTCTATGACTATCTCACAAGACAAGGAAATAATTTAGCATTATTTTTTTCACCTAAAGCTGACAAGCACCACTCCTGAATGAAAAATATTATAAGAATGTGTTTTGCAATCAGATGCGTTAGCTGTAATATATGAATCGAATTGATTGGAACTCTGGCTATGGGGACATGGAATGTCACCTCGCTGGGGGGAAAGGAGCCTGAACTCGTGCAGGAGGTTGAGAGATACCGACTAGATATAGTCGGGCTCA